CGGCCCCGTTCCCGGCCGGTACCGCCGAGGCCGCCGCTGCTGCCGCTGCTGCCGCCCGACTCGGGCCCCGCCGCCGCCGCCGCCATCTTGGAGCGCGCGCTGCGCGCCCCCCCCCACCTCAGCCCGCCCCCGCGCGCCACGCCCGGCCGCCCCCACAGGCCACGCCCATTCAGGGTAAACCACGCCCATTATGCATATTAGCGAGCCTTGTGTGGGCAGAGACACGCCCGCTCTCCGCCCAGCACCGCCCTTTTTCCCCGTGGCACCGCCCCCGCGCGGTTAAACCACGCCTCCTCCACGGCCACCCCGCTCTCTCCGCGCTAAACCACGCCCCCTCAATGCTTAACCCCACCAATCAGGCGTGGGCGCGCCCCGTTTTATGCTAAGCCACGCCCCCTTAGCGCTCAGCCCCGCCCCTCGCGGTGCGCCCCACGCGGCCGCGGGCGATGGGGGGAGCGGGGGCCACGCGGGCGGGCGAGCGCGGCGCATGCGCAGCTCGGGCGGCGGCGCCGCCTCTCTTCCCGTTTGGATTCGCCCCCGGGGTGTCACGAAAAGGGAGGAGTGACGTCATCTTGACCGCTGACGTCACATGAGCACAACGGTAAATGACGTCACAGAGCAGCACCCTTATGTGCCACACCCCCACTCAGCGACGTCACAGGAGCACGGGCATCTTCACCCTGTGTTGTCACAGAGCGCACGCATCGCCATCCTGTGACGTCACTCACGCATTGGTGCCTCTATCCTATGATGCCACAGAGCCACACCCGTCTCATGACGTCACTCAAAACAATGGCGCGGCCCCACGCGATGACGTCACCTCACGCGATGACGTCACCCCGCACGTCCCCTCTTCCCCCGCGCGGTGTCGCGCTCTCCCGCTCGCTGCCCATCGATCGCTCGGCGCTCGGCTGAGCCGCCTGCCGGGCCCGCCCCGCAGGGCGAGACCGCGAGCGCCGAGATGAGCCTGGCCGAGGGCCGCGCCCCGCGGAGAACGGCCGGGAATCGCCTCTCGGGGCTGCTCCAGGCCGAGGAGGAGGACGAGTTCTACCAGACCACCTACGGCGGCTTCAACGAGGCGAGCGGCAGCGGGAGGGAGCGGCGGGAGACGGCGACGAGCCCGCCGGGAGGGCGGCGAGGGCGGCGGGAGCGGCGCCCGCGCTCTGAGGGGAGGGAGGGCAGTGGCGGGAAACGTGAGGGGAGTGGGGGGGCCGAGGGAGGCTGGGGGTCCCCAGCTGGGGTTTGCAGGGAATGTGGGGATTTTGCAGGGATTGTGGGCGTGTGCAGGGATGTGGGGATATCCAGGCATGAGGTTTTGGGGGATCCGTGGGATCCCCTCGGTGATCCATCCCTGTGGGATTCCGGGATAACGGGGGTCCATGGGAGCCCCTCAGAAGGGTCTGTGGGGTGAGAGATCCCGAATTCCACGGGAATCCAGGAATAACGGGTCCATGGGAGCCCCTCAGAGGGGTCTGTGGGGTGAGAGATCCCGAATTCCA